ATTCAAACTGGCTAGACAGGAAAAGGAATTCAAAATTTTCCCGGGGGCTTTTTCCTGTGTGGCTGGTCAGAGCATCCGAGCTCGGACTGCTGTCCAGAGCGTCAACAGAGTGGTGCACTGTGGGATAGCTCCCGGAGCTATTAGTGTCAATTTCCATCCACACCTAGCCTAATTCGACATGGCCATGTCGAATTTAGCGCTACTCCCCTCGTCGGGGAGGAGTACAGAAGTCGAATTTAAGAGACCTCTATGTCGAACTAAATAGCTTCGTGGTGTGGACGGGTGCAGGGTTAATTCGATGTAACGGCGCTAACTTTGACATAAATGCCTAGTGTAGACCAGGCCTCAGACATCTATCACAGTGATATCTAAACTCAGTAAACTGACTCATGCTAGAAGACTGCAGCTGTCCAGATCTGGGATATCATAGAAGTGTTAATTGAACTAGTGGACTGAGCCAACATCAAAATGCCTATTCAGAATTTAACAGATCGCTGACAACTGTTGCAGGAAACTTGAGCTTGCAAGCTATATGGTATAACCTCATATAACACCATCTGATCTCATTGCTCTTGAGTGTTTGCCCATTCCTCTCGCTTCCCGTGCATGCCAGAACATGGTCAAGACAATTACAAAAACTGCAGCAGTCCAAGTTTTCTTTGGCCCTTGAAGGCATTACACAAGTCAGAGCTAATGGAAAGCTAAGACGTCTCTAGGTTTTGGCTCCGCAAAATAAAGTCACATTCAGTATAAAGAAGGTATCTGTCCAGTTTGGATTGGTGATAGGAAGAAGGGCCTGTGGAAAATTGTCAGGACATTGTTCCACAAATTTGTGCACATAATCTTACTACTTTTTTCAAAAATGTTTGTAAAATAGGCAGAATTTTTACAATTAAATTCTCTCAGCACCTGTAAACACTAAGGTATTGTCGCTCTTTGGATTTGTCCCCATTCACCAATTTGGTGGCTAGCAGTATAGGGGCTGACCTTAAGTGTAGAAAAGAGCAAGCTAACGTTTGCACCACTTGAGCTGATTGCGGGGTTACCTAATAAATTGCTCAGTCATTTATCTGCATGTTTATGGAACAGTTTTTTAAATAATATTGACTTTATTTTGCTCACCCTTGTTTGGAAGCATGGAATGCTGACATTTTCGTTGTGTTACATCACCATGGATAACAATGAACAAGACCCTCACAAAACCAAATGCCGCCTACGGGCTTCAGACTTTCAGGTTTCATGTTCTCTCTGATCTACTTCTTACTCTGCCTGCTACTGAAACCATATTCCTGGATTGCTGCCCAGCTATCCCAGAATACCTTGCAAACAGCTGACACAGCCTGCCCCATCCATGTGCCTCAGTTCAGGCAGCACCAAATGCGGCTCCAGCAGAATCCACACTGAGACAAGTAAGGTGGAAATTCCATGCTCTGGTTGCTTGTGTCAAAGTTAGGCTAGGTCTACACTACCCGCCTGAATCGGTGGGTAGAAATTGATCTCTCGGGGATCGAATTATCGCGTCTCGTCGGGACGCGACAATCGATCCCCGAATCGACGCACTTACTCCACCAGCGGAGGTAGGAGTAAACGCCGTTGACGGGGAGCCACGGAGGTCGATTTTGCCGCCGTCCTCACATTGGAGTAAGTCGGCTCCGATACGTCGAATTCAGCTACGCTATTCGCGTAGCTGAATTTGCGTATCTTAAATCGACCCCCGCCCCTCCCACCGTAGTGAAGACCTGCCCTTAGACTCAGGACTCACAGTTTGTCAGACCACTCTGTTTTATTAGCACAGCGCTCTGCTAATAACACCCAGATAATGTGAGCACCCTCCAAGACCCACACTACCTTATTTTATACAGATAAAAAGAGTATGAAAACCATGAAAGAGTATAAGCATTGTTCTGTAAAATGTATCTTTTTAAAAAATTCTCTCCTTTTTTTCCTCCCTTCAGCAGCTGCAAATTTTTCAAGCCTCCCTCCTCCGTCCCGAAGGCTATCTCAGATAAGGCGTCGGAAAAAGAAGACGTGAGACGAGATGTTTGCGGAAATCATGGAATCCACCCGCAATGAAAGAGCTCATCTGAATGAATGGAAGGACACGGTTTCAAACTATAGGAAAGATGCCAGTGAACATGAGGACAGGAGGGACCACCGTGAGGACAGGAGTGACCACCCTGAGGACAGGAGGGACGCTCGAGATGAGAGGTGGCGGCAGGAAGCTCAGAGGAGGCAGGATGCAACACTGGTGCTGCTGCGTGAGCAAACAGACATGCTCCGGCATCTGGTGAAGCTTCAGGAACGGCAGCAGGATCACAGACTGCCGCTGCAGCCCCTTTATAACCACCCTCCCCCCTCACCATGTTCCATAGCCTCCTCACCCAGACGTGTAAGAACGCGGGGTGTGGGGGGAGGCTCCGTGCACCCTCCCATTCCACCCCAGTGGACAGCCCAAGCAAAAGGCTGTCATTATTTTAACCTTTTTTTAGTGGCCTTTTTCTTCCCTCCGATCCTCCTCCCAAACCCCACCCAGGCTACCTTCTCAGTTCTCTCCCTCTTTTTATAATCAATTAATAAAGAATACATGATTTTTAAAT